TTATCAGTATTAAGACATCTAGATAGTTTTAAAATGTGCCAAGTGCAGTGAGAAAAAATAAAATGATTCAAGAGATCTGATTGTTTTTACTTTTCAACTAGTTTTGCAAATGGATAGATGTGTAAGCCAGTAAATGCTCTCATTTTGCGTTTGTGGCAAATTGTCCATTCCTTTGCTTAAAGATATTTACATAGATTCATAAATGTATCTCTGACAAATTTGAAAAATCTGATTAGAACAATACATTCAGTACATAAACAGATTTACACAGTGAATGTATTACATACATCAGTCATTCTTTGGTACTGTCAACATTTGCTGAGAATTTTCATGTTGTGAAAATTAGAATGTTAGTGTCATACACTGGAGAGGAAACAGATACCACGTCAGAGATTTGCAGAAATGTTGTGATGGCAGAAGCGGTTGCTATCTCTTTCAAAGACGCTGATTAGGAGGACTGTTGAGAGGAGAGGACTGTTAGTTCCCATGTTAGATTTCCCAGCCACACCTTCACCAAGAGTCAGTGAGGTTTTGTGCTATGATTAGCATATACATCTGCTTCACAACAAGATCATTAGCTGTTGGCAACTTCTGCCTCCTTGAGTCTAAATTGGCCAAAATTTGTTCTAAATCTGTAATTCAGTTTCTTAGATACATATGAAGGCACAATTGAAGTAACCTTTAGGAAGTTACAAAAGGCACTTAGTTTGGCTTCCCATAAGCTAACTATTGAAGACCCATAGTGCCTTAAAAAATAATAATAATAATCAACACCTACTAGAAAACAGGGTAGCACTATTTTGTCATGTGACTAGGAAAAGAAGTGTTTCAAAAGGGAGTTTTCCAGAAATCTGAAACTTTTAACCCTTTAGAAGTTGAGAATACTATTGTGTAATAACAGTGGTATCTAAAAGGACCTTTAAGTATCAAAAAGTCTTAAAGAAACTCTTGAGAGTAATTAAAGACACCAACTCTGTAGAAACAGACTTCATGGATGTTTTCAAGATAATTGTCACCTGTTTACTTTTTCCAGAAGTTAGAGAACAGTTTGTGTGCAACGGGAAGCTCAATGGAATCAATTATATGCTTTCTGATAGAATCTGAATTAGGATAAATTGAGATACAGCTCAGAGCTCATAAAATTCTGTTTTACCTAGAACTAGCCTTAAGTAAAATAATGAAATTAGAGTATTGAATATCTAAGACTCCTTTCCGTTACTTTCGTTCAGTTTTTCTTTTCTGTCCCCTGCTTACCTGTTAGACTGGTGCCTCATCAAAGAGTGAATGTGATCTTAACACTGAGAGGTTATTAGCATGAAAAGTGAAAGTGGCTCAGTCAAGTCCAGCTCAGTCATGTCCTACTCTTTGTGACCCTGTGGACTGTAGTCCATGGAATTCTCCAGGCCAGAATACTAGAGTGGGTAGCCTTTCCCTTCTCGAGGAGATCTTCCCCACCCAGGGATCGGACTCGGGTCTCCCGCATTGCAGGTGGATGCTTTACCAGCTGAGCCACAAGGGAAGCCTGGTTATTAGCATAGTAGGTGTATAATACATTCCTAAGAATGTTTACTTTTTCTTAACGTCCTGTTTTAAAACAATTTTTCACTCTTAAAAAAAATTTTCTAAAGGAACTGGGAAAGAAAGATTTAACCTGTGAAGGCAAAGATGAGGGGAAACAGTGGTACCAGTATAGCTACTAAATTTGGCTATAGGGATAGACTTTCAAAGAGAATTATGTAGAACCACTGGTAAAGACACTTGGCATACCTATAGGAAAATATTCCATTTCTGAAACATTTATAAGCACTTGCTTAGAATTATAAAGCTAGTGTTGTAACATTAATAGTTTGATATATAAACTGTCTATTTGGTATAGAAATAAAACCAAAATAATACACCTTAACCTCTTTGTCTTGAAGCCTGTGTACTAACAATCTGGTCTTATTTTAAAAAATACACACATACACACAATCCACATGCTGCTAATGTATGTATAAGATAAAGTCCTAGAAATGGAATTTCTAATTTTTTTCCTTTCCTCACAAATAGTAACATATACACTTTGCCTTTTTCCCCCCTACATAATATACCCCAGAGATCTTTTAAAGCCAACTTGTATACAGCTGCTTCATTCTTTGTAAGGACCTCATGCTATTCTGGAGAAGGCAATGGCAACCCACTCCAGTACTCTCACCTGGAGAATCCCATGGAAGGAGGAGCCTGGTAGGCTGCAGTCCGTGGGGTCGCTAAGAGTTGGACACAACTGAGTGACTTCACTTTCACTTTTCACTTTCATGAATTGGAGAAGGAAATGGCAACCCACTCCAGTGTTCTTGCCTGGAGAATCCCAGGGACGGGGGAGCCTAGTGGGCTGCCGTCTATGGGGTCGCACAGAGTTGGACACGACTGAAGCGACTTAGCAGCAGCAGCAGCATGCTGTTCTAGTCTATGGTCATAGTAAACTTTATTGAAACAGTCCTCTATTGATGAGCACTTAGGTGGTTTTATATCTTATACAATTGTAAGCAGGGTGACAGTAATTATACTTTTACATACGACATTTCAAAAATGTGAGCATAGGTTAATGTCTAGGATGGAATTTTCAATTAGGGTATGTAACTTAAATTTTGATCAGTATTTCAGATTGCCCTCCTGGAAGTTGCAGTAATTTGTACTTCTTATATATTTCTTGATCTTTTTTCCTTACATTTTAAAACACTCCCATCAGAGATGTATAAGTATTGAATAGCTATTTCTCCACCCCCTCTCCAACATAGTCTATCATCAAACTTTTTGATCTTAAGCAGTCTTTTAGGTGAAAAATTGTATCTCAATGTAGTTAAACAGCAGTTGTTTTGTGAAGATTGATCATTTTTTCAGACATTTATGTATCCTTTTCTTTGAACTGTTTATGTCCTTTGTTCATTTTTTCTATCAGGTTCTTGGGTTTTCTTAGTGATTTGTTATTATGTATTTTTTAAAAAGCCCTTGTCTGTGTGAGTTACAAACATATTTCCAAGTTTTCTGTTTGTTAAACTTTATATATGTTTATTTTTCCCATATGAAAGTATATTTGTCATCAAACTTACCAGTCTTACATTTTTTGACTTCTGGGTTTTGTTGCATTTTTAGATCTAACTCCACAAGTATTTTCTTCTAATATTGTAATTTTTTTTTACCTACATATGATTTATTGTGTATGTAAAGTACATACACAATATGTACTTAAAGTATGATTTAAGTCTCCAGTTTCACTTTTTTCTGAGTGGGTCCCCAGTTGTATCAAAATCATTTGTTGAATAATTCATTTCTCTTTCTTTGAAATGACATCTTTTTGTATACTAAAGTTTCAGGAATAGTGTCTTATGTATAAAGTGAATAATAAACCCCTGAAAAGTGGGGTGTGTTGCTAAAATGCATTTTGTTTAAATAAGATAGTAAAGAAATTAAAAAGGATAAATATTAATTTTAGCCTTGAAATCTTGCCCATAATATTTTCTTTGAAATGTATGTAATTAGATCAGAAATTCAGCAGTTAGAAAAGCCAACAGAGTCATCATTTTATATAAATAGCTGCATTTGTGCCAAGATTGTGTATTGAATAGAAGGAATATGGGGTTGTTTCCTTGCATTTATTATAGGATATTAAATTGAGACACATACATAGCTGGACCAGCAAATTTAGTGCCTCCTCAGTGAAGGATATGGTTAAGAGACATTACTGTCTTCAGTATAAGTAAGTGTGTAATTATCAGAGTAAAAAATCACTGAGCTCTAATACAAAATTACTTGAAACCTATATAAAATTTTAGATTTAGTTTGCAAATAGAGCCTACTTCAAATCTGAATCTTGAGTTCTACTGATTAAGATTCTCTTAGATTTTTTCCTGCCTGCCTAAATCAATTCTGCTCAAAAGGTTTCCATTCACTTGGACCAAATTTCTTGAATTGCTGCCATATGTTCTTCTCTGTCTGCATCACTTCGCCACCCCCCACCCCCCAACCTCCCACACCTTTTTTTCTCCTTTAAAAGAAAAGCATCTGGTTTATATCATGAAGGACTTTTGGAAGCAGTAAAGAGAGGATGGAAATAGTATTTGTATGTAATTATATAAGCAAGGGTTAATATTTAGTTGTTAAAGAAGGTGGTGTTTGTTTGCCTAGAGACAAGACAGATAGGACATGAACTCAAAAAAAAAGGGAGGGGGGCCGAATTATATTTTGGTTTTGTTTCTATAAGCATATTGCATTGAGGGAAAAGCTGGTATGGTAATTGTCAGTTTTTGTTAACCATAGTACATTGTCACACAAAATACAGAATTCTAGGTTCCCTATGTCAAAGGGTAGAAAACCATTTCTTAATTAGTTGAGCTCAAAAATATAAGTGAAGTCAATGAGATCCTATAAATTAAAATTTTAAGGAAAACTCACAAAAATAATTTTTCTAAAATTGTTTTACTCAACCACAGAGAAACCATGTCCTGCAGCACTTTCTCTTTTGTGGGTTTAAATAACTTTTATTTTTCATAATATTTCTGTTCTTGTGAAGTATTATTATAGATGTAATAATAATACTTCTTTCAGTTTAAGATATCTAGGTGGAGATTATGACTTTTTCACTTCCTGACAAGATGCACAGGGATTGATATTTTGGTTGCTTGGGTTTTGGCTGTATAAACACATTGGTCTTATTTTGTATCACTGACAGTCCACAGGGTTGGCTGCTATGTGCTGAACTTTCTGTCCTAGACTTTCTGCCAAGTACTTTATGCAAAACTCTGGTTTTAGTGAAACAGGTTTTATTGTTTTTAGTTAGATTCTTATTATAAACCGTTGTCAGCTATGTGATGCAAAAAGAGGACCATATATATGGTCATGAAAACAAACCACCAAAACAAGCCAGGCTCTGTTCAACTGGTTGTTTTTTCCTCCCATTCCTGTGCCCTCAGTTCATGTTGTTGACTGTTAGCGGCCTGAGATGGTGTAATTTTCTTTTCTAGGAACTTGGAATTAGAATTCCTCGACCACTAGGACAGGGACCAAGCAGATTCATCCCAGAAAAGGAGGTATGTTGTTTGTAAAAGTACATAGTGAACTGTATGCTTTTAAGGAAAAGCTTTCATGACCTACATCTTGGCATCTGAACAATTGTTGGTCAACAATATGCTTTACACAGAGTTGATCATTGTTAATCATCATGCTTTGGCAGTGAATCTGTAGGATTAGAAAGCTATTATAGTCACTTTGACTTCTAGTATTTCATGACACTTTTCTAATACCCATAATTAATCAAGCAAAGGCAAGACTTGTTTTTGACAAGTCTTTTGACAATGATATGCCACCTGCTTATATTTAGATGTTGTTTAAGTGTGCCCATACGCCGAGTTACTTGGTCTTGGCCAGCTCCACAGGCTGGTATCAATGCTAGCTTAGATCTTTAATTCTAAAATGTGTAAATGTTTCTATGCTTTGTTTTCACAAGGATTGTTTACTGTTAATTTTGGTTCTCTAAATTGTGGGAGTGTAGGTGTTGTTAAAAGGAAAGGCATTAGTGTCTGCAAGCTCTGCAAATTTGATAATCTAAATCTGCTTCTTTATCTGGATTCTGGCCAAGCCTGCAAGCAGCCTATCTAGATGGCCTTTGTTGTTTCTCCCCTGCTACATGATATATGACTGTTTATTCTCCTATCTTGCAACCAGTTGAGTTAAATTTGTAGAATTATAACATCCTTTTCTTAAGCCAAATTTAATTGGCTTCTAAATGACACACACAATGCAGTGTGCATGCATGCTTTATTTCTCCCCTTCCATGTTTTCTTTAACACCGATTTACAATTTCTGTAACCATGGTTTTCCTCTCTTTCATACAGATTCTCCAAGTGGGGAGTGAAGACGCACAGATGCATACTTTATTTGCAGATTCTTTTGCTGCTTTGGGTCGTTTGGATAATATTACCTTAGTGATGGTTTTTCACCCACAGTATTTAGAAAGTTTCTTAAAAACTCAACACTATCTACTGCAAATGGATGGGCCATTACCCCTACATTATCGGCACTACATTGGAATAATGGTTTGTAAATAATCTCCTTTCTCCCTGCTTTATTAATCTTTTTAAGATATGGTTAATGCTTCAAACACAGGAATAAATACTTATATTCCAACTTCTAATTGAATTCCTGTTAAGCAGTATCTGTTTTTCCTCTTTCTAAATAATAGGAAAACTAATATGTATTTACACTTTGTTGAGTCCATGGAATTCTCCAGGCCAGAATACTGGAGTGAGTAGCCTTTCCCTTCTCCAGGGGATCTTCCCAACCCAGGGATTGAACCCAGGTCTCCCCCATCGTGGGCGGACTCTTTACCAGCTGAGCCACCAGGAAAACCTAAGAATACTGGAGTAGGTAGCCTTTTCCTTCTTCATCAGATCTTCCCAACCCAGGAATCAAACTAGGGTCTCCTGCATTGCAGGCAGATTCTTTACCAGCTGAGCTACCAGGGAAGCCCTTATTGAGAACCATTTCCTACTAAATAAGAAAATAAAGTAGAAAATAAGATTATTTCACTACTATATAAATAGTTCAGGTTAACATAAGTGGTTTTTACTCATGTTCAATTTATAAATAAGATTCCATTGTTTTATGGTTGGCATCTTAGGTGAAGTTTCTTCTTAATCAGGTTCTGACAATAGGTATAGAATTTTTCTAAAATTCAAATACTTTTATCAGATAATTTTTGTTCATGGGATATTTTTGAGGTGTTTTCTATAGCATATGTGAATTTTTGAATGTTTGTATGAAAACTTCATTTCTGTAGTGTATGGAAAATTTGAGAACATACTAATCAAAAAATTAACTGTTCTGCACATTGTAAAGAAAAAAAGACTTGTTCAAGATTTTAATATGTATAGTTAGAATCATCTTTTGTTTTCTCTTAAGGCTGCAGCAAGACATCAGTGCTCCTACTTAGTGAATCTCCATGTGAATGATTTTCTTCATGTTGGTGGAGACCCCAAGTGGCTTAATGGTTTAGAGAATGCTCCTCAAAAACTACAAAATTTAGGAGAACTTAACAAAGTGTTAGCCCATAGACCTTGGCTTATTACCAAAGAACATATTGAGGTAAGCAGAGAATATATTTAGGGTGTCTTTTTTATTTTAATTAATAGACTATTTTTTAAAGCAGTTTTAGGTTTACAGAAAAATGGCCCAGGGAGTTCCCATATTCTACCCACTTCAACCCTCCACCCCCTCCCCCCCACACACATTGTTTTCTTTATTACTAACTTCTAGTATTAGCATAGTACATTTGCTTCAATTGATGAATTAATAATGTCTGTAATTTATTTTGGGGTTCACTGTGTTGTACAGTTCTATGGGTTTTGACAAATGTTTAATGTTATGTTATCCATCATTATCGTGTCATACAGAATAGTTTCACTTGCCTAAAAATCTCCTATGCTCCCCCTATTCATCTCTCTCCCTTCCTCCTGAAACTACTACTCCTTTTATTGTCTTCATAGTTTTGCCTTTTCCAGAATGTATAGTTGGAGTCATACAGTATATAACCTTTACACACTAGCTTCTTTTATTTGTCAGTATGCATTTAAGGTTCCTCCATGACTTGATGGCTCATTTCTTTTTATTGCTGAAAAATACCCCAATGTGTGGATGTACTACAGTTTGTCCATTCACCTATTAAAGGACATCTTGGTTACTCCCAGTTTTTGGCAATTATGAATAAAACTTCTGTAAACATTCACATGCAGGTTTTTTGATGGACATTAGTTTTCAACTCAGTTGGGTAAATAACTGGGATTGCTGGATTGTATGGTAAGCTTGTGTTTAGTTTTGTAAGAAACTGTGAAACTGTTTTCTGAGGTGGCTGTACCAGTTTGTGTTCCCACCAGCAATGGATGAGCATTGCTGTCGCTTCACATACTTGTCAGCATTTGCTGTTGTCAGTGTTCGGATTTTAGCCATTCTGATAGATGTAAAGTGGCGTCTTGTATATCTTTGCAAAATACCATCTTAAACTAGTTTCTTCTGGTTCTATTGAAAGTGTTACACACTCAAAAAAAAAAAGAAAGTGTTAAACGCTCATTCATGTCTGATTCTTTGTGACCCCCATGGACTAGAGCCTGCCAGGTCCTTTGTCCATGAAATTCTCCAGGCAAGAAAACTATAGAGTGGGTAGCCATTCCCTTCTCCCAGGGATCTTCCCGACTCAGGGATCAAACCCAGGTCTCCTCTATTCCAGGCAGATTCTTTACTGTCTGATAATAAAGATAATAGAATAAAAGTAGATTGATTTTCTCTAAAAGAATCTGCCATGCAGTAGAAATTTTTAAAAATTTCTCTTTCTTTAATAATTTATTGGCCATGCCATGAGGCTTATGGGATCCTAGTTCCCCAACCAAGGATCAAATCTGTGCCCCCTGCAGTGGAAGTCAGAGTCCTAACCACTGAATTGCCAGGGAATTCCCAAGAGTATTTTAGATACTTTTATATAATTGAAGCATCTTATTTTCAAGGAGATATAAGATTTGAATATGATTAATGCAATGTCTTATATTGTCTAGTAATATAAAAGTATACAATACTATAAAATAGATAATGAAGCAGAATGGAAACAGATTTGTAAGACTTTTAAGAATTGTAGACTTTACCTCGAGCATAATTTTTAAAATAAATATAATTTGACAATTTAGACATATTCCGAGTCAAGTTGTTCAAACCACTATCTTAAAAATTCCTTGAGGAAGCCTGATATTAAAGAAAAACAGGCATATTTTCCACAGTAGCTTCTACTTTAAACTCAAATTTATTACATTTGGTTTGAAACTTCACACTAACAACATAGTTAATGCATTCATAATCCATTGTCTGAAACACAGCAACTGCCTTAAACAAAATGTATTCTACTGCATTTTTAAATCAAGATTTCAGATAAAATAATAATGAATTAGTCATTATCAGATTATGTTAAGCTCAATTTTTTTTAAAATATATTCATAAAAATTAGTAAATTCTGAGTTCTACATGCCTCAAATTGTCATTTTATCCTGTTTTATACAGTAACTAATCCTGTTTTCAGTGGATTAAATACCAAGATGAACTATATTCTTTCACCAACACCATACCCCAGTATAAAAATATATTCTCATTTTTTTCCCCAAGGGACTTTTAAAAGCTGAAGAGCATAGCTGGTCCCTTGCAGAACTGGTACATGCAGTAGTTCTACTCACACACTATCATTCTCTTGCCTCGTTCACATTTGGCTGTGGAATCAGTCCAGAAATTCATTGTGATGGTGGCCACACATTCAGACCTCCTTCTGTTAGTAACTACTGCATCTGTGACATTACAAACGGCAATCACAGCATGGATGAGATGCAGGTCAACTCAGCAGGAAATGTTTCGGTAAGTGTCTATTTGTTACAGGGTTGTTGTAAAACTAATCACAGTAATTGCTGTTGTATTATTTTTTGGCTTTTAGGAAAATTTACCCTGTTAAGTCCAAAAAGGTATTAGGCCCCCTGATCTATTCATTCAGCAAGTATTTGACTGCCTCCAAATGCTGAGCACTATAGTGTCTGATGCTAAGGGACATATACAAAATTATATGACTTATACATAATTATAAGACCCTCCAGGAGACTCCATTCGAATAACTTCAGGACTGGAAGCCACCAGTGTGCCAGGGCCAGCTAGTGTTGAATGGCTACTGAATGTGAGATGAGGGAAGACTGAAGAGAGGGGAACTTGATGATACAAACTGCCTGCTGCTGATCACATCCCATTCTTTCCTTTTTCACAAAAGAAACAGGCTGTCATCTCAATTGTTTATCTTTTAGAAGAGTTAATCAGCTTTGATCTGGAATTTCTCCTTTTAAAATACTTCTTCACGTTTTAACTCCTCACAAATATATATAGAAGTGAATGTAAATTTATTAAAATGCTTTTACCTCTATTCCTTCTCTTCTCTGGCATTTATATTTTCTCAGCTTTGTTATTCCTTGGAAACAGATCACAATGAGCTGAATTTTCTGTAAGCAAGTTTTAACTCCTATATATGATGTGTCAAAATCCCCTCTGCATTCTTTAGCTGTAGTGAAAGAGCAAGGGTTTATATTTCCAAGTAGAAACAACAGTATACCCTTCTCAATGCTTCACACAGATTTTCTCAGTTTTATTATTCCTTGAAGACAGATTTGGACAGGTTGAATTTATGTTTGACTTTAACAACTACTTGACTGTTAACATATTATTTGACTGTTGGCAAGTTATCTACCCTCCCTGACCCCCCATTCTTTCATTTCTAAATAAAGGTCAAACACAAGGTTATTGCAAAGTTTAAGTGAAATGTCTCTAGACAGGTAAAAGGCCTAGTACAGTGCTTAAGATTTGTCAGGTACTATATAAGAGGTAGTGTTTACATATGGTGAGATTAGCACAGGAAGGAAAATCATTTTCCCAAGGTTGGTTGCTGTGCTGTGCTGTGCTGATAAGGCCCAAGACCATCAGTTTCACCCTCTTTTGAGCTATCTGGATTCATGTGAGAGGCCCGCATATGGCCACTGATTATTTATCAAAGTTTAAAGGTTATAAGATGGACTAAGGGTGAGTACATCAGTTGTTAGGATGCTGAGAATTGGATTCTTTGCCCACCTTTGATTTAGTACGAGGCTAAAGAAGTACTGTTCCTAGTTATCCCTCAATTAAATGAAATAATAGTGAAATAATATAATTTTTTTAAGTAATATAATTTTTTTTAAAAAGTTCTCTAGTAGATAAGCTCCCTATTCTCAGGTGTTAAGTATTTTTAGTAATGATTTTTTTTAAGGTATGTACATTGTTTTTTAGACATAATACTATTGCACACATTAAAGACTACTCTAACTTTTTATAAGCCTTGGAAAACCAAAAAAATTCTTGACTTGCTTTGTTGTGATACTGGCTTTATTCTAATGGTTTGGAACTAAACCCACAATATAGCTGACATATGCCTGTCTATTGACAGTATGCCCAGTGTACAAAGTTGATGTAAAACCACTTTATATTTTGTATACCTTATTTGTTTTACTGAGCAAGTAAAAGTGTAACTCATTTCTGTTTTAAACTGACAGGTAGTGTTAAATTTTAATTTTTAAAACTTAATGACAGTAATATTACTAACTTTTGAAATAAAAATGTAAACATTAGAATGTGTTCTTAAAATCTTTCTATTGTTTTAAATTTTAACATTTATGTATCTGTATATATGATAGGCCAAAATAATTGTTTTTGATTCATTCATGTGCATTAAAGTTATAAGATCTATTTTTCTTGTATTAAGATGCAAATTCTTATGAAATAGACTTAATAAAATTCATTCCATGTTTGACATATGTAACAACCTTAATTGCACTTTTGTTTAAGGTAAGTGATTCCTTCTTTGAGGTTGAAGCCCTCATGGAAAAGATGAAGCAGTTACAGGAATGTCGAGAAGAAGAGGAGGCAAGTCAGGAAGAGATGGCTTCACGTTTTGAAATAGAAAAAAGAGAGAGCATGTTTGTCTTCTCTTCAGGTAAAAGCAACCATTACATAGTCAATGTCTATTATTTCCAAAAAAGAGCCCAATTTTTAAAGACAATTTAAATAAGTTTTTCTTGTTGGAATACAGTTGATTTACAATGTTGTGTTAGTTTCAAGTGTATAGCAAAATGAATCTGTTATACATATATCCACTTTTAGATTCCTTTTCCATACAGGTCAGTACAGAGTTTTGAGTAGAATTCCCTGTGCTATACAGTAGGTCCTTATTAGTTATCTGTTTTATATATAGTAGTGTGTATATGTCAATCCCAAACTCCCAATTTATCCCTCCCCTCCCCGTACCCCCACCCCCCCACACCCCAGCTGCATCCCAAACCCTTGGTCACCACAGGTTTTCTACAACTCCACATATAAGCTATATTGTATGATGTTTGTCTTTTTCTTTCTAACTTCACATAATAGGGTAATCTCTAGGTCCATTCATGTTGTGGCAAATGGCATTATTTCATTCTCTTTTATGGCTGAATAATAGTCCATTGATATATGTACCACCTCTCGATCTACTGCTGTCAGTGGACATTTAGGTTGCTTCCATGTCTCAGCTATTATAAATAGTGCTGCTGTAAACATAGGGGTGCATGTATCTTTTTGAACTATGGTTTTCTCTGGACCCATACCTAGGAGTGGGATTGCTGGATCAGATGTTAGCTCTATTTTTAGTTTTTTAAGGAACTTCTGTACTGTTATATGTAGGGACTGCATGAATTTACATTCCCAACAACAGTTTTATAGCATTTATTGTTTGTAGATTTTTTGAAGATGGCCATTCTAACTGATGTGAGGTGATAACCTCACCGTTGTTTTGATTTGCATTTCTCTAATAATTAGTGATATTAAATATCTTTTCATGTGCCTAATGGCCATCTATATGTCTTCTTTGGGGAAATGTCTGTTTAGCGCTTCTGTCCATTTTTTTTGATTGGGTGGTTTGGTTTTCCAAAGTTGAGCTGCATAAGCTGTATGTTTGGAGATTAATCCCTTGTCAGTTGCTTTGTTTGCAAATATTTTCTCTCATTCTGTAGGCTGTCTTTGTTTAGTTTATGGTTTCCTTTGCTGTGCAAAACTTCTAAGTTGAATTCGAATATGTCTTTCCTTTTAGAAAGGCTATTGCATAGGTAGCCCTACTTCCAGAAAAGGGAGTTAAAGTAAAAATAGACTAAGAGCAAGGATATTTGATTAGATTCTAAAATCACTGCTAATAAACTTTGTGAATGTTAAGTCATTTAGCATTGAGCATTCCTTTTTTTTTTCTTTAAAATGAAGTTGCATTCATAAAGGCCTAATAGTTACTTCCAGCTTTAAAATTCTATAATTTGTGAAAAGGAGCTACTTATTAGATAACTAACAGCTTAAACCCTTTGTTGGGCCTTTATCAAATGTTACCTATAGGATTTAATACGTAAACTAGGAAAGGAAAGAAGTTATAGTGTCAATATATTTTGACAATAATACAGTGGGACAAAGAGTACATATTAAAACCAAGCTTAATAGCAAAGAAAAAATCAAATTTGTATAAATGGAGGTTTGATGTTAACCTGAGAAGTCTTTGATTCTGTTTACTTGAAACTAATCTCATCAACTCCTAAACATGAAAATAATCTAAAAAGGCTTAGAGTGTTGAGCCTCTTTTCCTGTATTCATTTCAGAAGTGTTTCTGTTAGTGTTAGTTGCTCATTTGTGTCTGACTCTTTGAGATCCCACAGACTATAGCCCACCAGGCTCCTCTGTTCATGGAATTTCTGAGGCAAGAATACTGGAGTGGGTAGCCATTCCCTTCTCCAAGTGATCTTTCTGACCCAGGGATCGAACTCATGTCTCCTGTGTTGCAGGCAGATTCTTTATCATCTCAGGCATCAGGGAAGCTGTTAGATCATTTTACATATTGTATGACATTAATATTCAACTAAAACTAGTCCAAGTGCTAAAGTTTAGAACACAGATGATTTGTTAATAGCATAAAGATAATTTCAAAAGGGTATTCTTACTTGGAGTACATACTTTTAAATAGAGCCTAACATCTATAGAGAGAGGATACAGAGGAAGAGAGGATCTGTGAAAGAGAGGAATGAAAAGCACAGTAAATGCAACCATGAGTATATTTTTTAACCTTTATATTCCATTTACTATTAAGCAACTTCTTTATAGTTTTAAGACTTTAGTTGATATTGGTTACTAAGTATCAGAAAAAGGGTTATCCTATTTTTACTTGTTATAGGTAAAATGAATTTTAACTAGTATCCTGTTTTTGAAAAGCTTTCAGTAGCTTTTTTAAAAAATTATTTCAGATGATGATGAAGTTACACCAGCAAGAGATGTATCACGTCACTTTGAGGATACTAGTTATGGCTATAAGGATTTCTCTAGACATGGAATGCACGTCCCAACATTTCGAGTCCAGGTAAAATCACAACTTGTATGTACATGACTGGTTAGAAATATCTCAATCTAACTTAAAATTAGAAAGAACCATCTGGACTTGAGAAAAGAAAGAAATAACTTTTCTATGTACATGCAGTTCCTTAGATATATTTATAATATTGTTAAAGTTCATAAATCAGTTGCTCAGAATTCAAAACACTCACCCATAAAACAAAATTACAATAGTGGCTAGGTTCCCAGGTGGTATACTAAAACTCAAAGTTCATAATATAACTAAACAGTAAATAGTTGTGTTGGAACCTAGCTCACATTTATAGCATTGTTTTACAGAGCACCAGTGTTAAAGTGAGGCCACTTCTGTGACAAGAGAAATGTCCTCACATTTCAGGCATTGTGTGTGTGTGGGTAGAAGGAAAGAGGATGAGAAAATCAGAGTGAAACGTGCTTAAATTAGAATTTTTAGGGACAGCAAATTTGTTTTTTTAATTTAGGTGAGTTCTTATAAATATCATATAAAATAAGTCATGGTGATTACAATAACCTAATTCCCTGGTAAAATATGAACTGAATGTCATTTGAAGCAATGAGAATTTTTGAGAGTTTCAAATTTAAATCTTGAAGAGGATTTTTATATAAATATATCTTATTCCAAAATAATGCCCATCTCTTAGAATAAAGTTTTAGTGAGGTAGGGAGTCAAATTACTGTTGGTAGACCCAGTTTGTTTAGCTCCATAATCATTAACTTTGAAATACACAGTAAAAATTCCCAGTACAATTCTGTGTATATTGAGTCCATGGAAACTTAGGGACTTGTCATCCTCCAGGATGCCAGGCCCCTCCTCTCTCTTTGCTTTGGCAGGAAGCTAAGTGCTTTGCAGGTATATTGTAGGAGCAACAACTGCTGTATCTTCTAGTTCCAGAATAAAAGCTGAGGATCATCAATTAGGGAACATTTATCTGTTCTATGCTGCAGTTTTCTAAGACTGCTTCCAATCCATCAGGAGACACATAGTGCATTTAAAATGTATTTCTTAAACAGTCTGTTATGAGTTGATGGTTCTAACTTGCCCAATTAGTAATTGGGCTAGTATTAAGTGATAACTTTTAGCAGAATTATGAAATTATTTGGGAACTATGAGTTTTTTTTTTTCTTGGCTCAAGGAACTAACATTATTTAAGGAGGCAGATTAGGCACAGGAAGAAATATAGAATATGTTACTTGGTAGTGAAGTTGTGTCATGAAATATAAATTACAATTGGAGAGATCATGTGGACTAGAAAAATTTTTTGGAGGCAGATTAGGATTTGACAGACTTGAATAGTTGAAAAGCATGAGCATTGTAAGCAGATAAGACTGTAGGCAATAATTGAGCCTAAGTTGAAGGACAGAGGGAGGGAAGGTATCATAAACTGGCTGGGCTGCTGAAAGCTTCAAGCAAAGGATTTTTCTGATTAGTTGGAAGTTACTTTAAAATTGATCAGACTTGTAGGTTTTGACCACAGTGATGGCATAATATCAAAGAGGTGTTTTAGGAAAACAAAGTGGGAGCAATGTAGAAGTAGAGGCTTGTTAAGTTTTGTTTGAGGTAGAAAAAAGGAAACGGGGAGATTTAATGTAGGAAAATTAATTAGAAGACGTAACAGAACTAAGAGGAAGGGGGGTTAGGAGGAAAAAGAATGAGTGATGGATGTGTTGAATTAAAAATTTACAAAATTTGAAGACATTTGAATGCCTGCAGCAATATAAAAGGAGAGTGGCCTCCCAAGACGAGTCATCTCTGCAGGCTGTCGGGGGCAACAGTGAGAGAAAGCAGAATACGGGTGATGTGTGGGTAAGGCAGAGATCCCACTGGTTTTTAAACTAGGGGAGTTGCAAAATTTAACTTTTGCTCGTTGTGGTATAGAAATTGAAAACATCAAACTGGAATGCAAATGAAACAGAAAGCTAGGGATGTTCTAGAAAGAGAGTAGATTTCAACTGCCACTAGTCTCACTGCACCACAGAGCAATAGACATAGAACTATATTTGACCAGATTTTAATTATTCACGTTTGTTCTGTTCTCTGTATTTAGGACTATTGTTGGGAAGACCATGGTTATTCTTTGGTAAATCGTCTTTATCCAGATGTAGGACAGTTGATTGATGAAAAATTTCACATTGCTTACAATCTTACTTATAATACAATGGCAATGCACAAAGATGTTGATACCTCAATGCTCAGACGGGCTATTTGGAACTATATTCACTGCATGTTTGGAATCAGGTTAGTCTGTTTTCTTACGTATATGAAGAGATATTTTCTTTTAGGGAAATCATTCAGGTGCTTGAAACACATATGCAGATATACATGTTAATATACTCAGAACCATCCCCTCCCTAAGAGCTTATTTTTATGGTTTTTATGCTTCAGAAACTTGATATTTTGCAGCTTAGTGTGTTTCCTCTCACCTAGCTAGGCAGGACGGAGAGTTAGGAATAAGAGTTAAACAACAAGCAAGGTTGTCCAGAAGCATGGAGGAAGAGGCAGAGTTTGCCTCTGAACATATATGTGTTTGTATCACTTTTATCTCTTGACACACTTGTAGTTCTGCCTTCGTGGAACTTAGCACTCTTAGAGTGCCCTTCTAAAGAATACCTACTCCCATGATACCTCATAAAATGCAAAACTTCCTTATCAGTATTATGCTATTTATATACACACACTATACACCACCTTCTAACATACACAACACTATGCTCCTTCCTGATTGTTTTAGCTGTAAAGTCAGACTTTTCTCTTGGTTATTCATTTTCTCAGTAGCCAGACTATTGGCTTTAGACTCCCGGATGGTTATATAGGACCAACTTTACAAGAGTTTTCTCCCTTTTCCACTAAAAACCAAATAGGAGACAGAAGATCCTTGGATGTTGTAGAAAGTATCCTCCAGTGGGGCAGAGCAGACACTGGTGCCTACGACCATCCTGGCCTAAAGCAGAATGGCCTAAGTATAGATACTGTGAGGCCATCTTAGAGACCAATTCTTTCCTCTGAGACACTTCTACTCTTTTTTTCTCATCTGACCCAAGAACCCCTGCAAACATGAGAAAATATTTATACAAGTAGATTATAATTTATATATCATGGGATATATCAATATTATTGTCTAATTTGTTAATTTCTTAATATCATCAGTACTCAAACTGTTTCCAAAATTTGTTCCTCAGTGTGGTTGCTTACTCACGATTGTAAGTATATACTGTTACTTTAGCACTAGCAAAATTTTTGTTCATCTCCCTGACTTCTCTATTTCTTACTCCTTTATACTCATTCATCCACCCCCAATTAAATATTGTAAAGCTCTTATTTTAGGGGACAGCTGCCTATATAAAGAGAATTAAAGAATATATAACATTTACTATTGATGTCTGTACTTCTATAAGAAAACAGACTATACATAAAAAATATAGTAATTCTCACATTGTCTTATAACAGATACGATGACTATGACTATGGTGAAATTAACCAGCTATTGGATCGTAGCTTTAAAGTTTATATCAAAACTGTTGTTTGCACTCCTGAAAAAGTTACCAAAAGAATGTATGATAGCTTCTGGAGGCAGTTCAAGCACTCTGAGAAGGTATGTACCTGTTGTGTTTACTTTGTAACTTAGCAGTGGTTCTTATTTTCCTTCACCTAATCTAATGGGTCTCCAGCCCTTTCCATCACCTCTACTGATGCAGAGAAGAACATTCCGGAACAGATGTCATAGATATGCCTTGGAAGGGAACCTCATTATGGTTTAAAGCAGGGGTCCCCAACTTGCAGGCCAGGGGTACCTGCTGCCAGATCAGCATGACATTAGACTAAATGTAATGTGCTTGAATCATCCAGAAATCGGTTCTCAATGCCAAAAAGGTTGGAGACCACTGGTTTAACGTAAAAGAAGAATGACAGGGAGAACAGATCTGCTGGCCTGTCTTCAAAGTTCAGGCTTAGGAGAAAGAAGAGAATCTTTGAATCGTCTCTACAGAAATTATTGAATGATGATTTGGCAGGGAAAGTTTATTATTTTAACAAACCTTCCTAAAGAGATGTGATCAAATATAAACTCAAAACATATTTCCAAGAAGGATCAGATGGCTTTTGTTTTGAGAAATTGATACTCTGTTCAACAAACCCAAGACTCATGTTAAGCTATTCAGTGGTACACATAAAACATTACTTATATTTGGTGTTGATTAAATGCACTGAAACTGATTGTAAATGCTTATAACCATATCTTAAATAATGTTGTGTTTTATATTCAGGTTCATGTTAATCTGCTTCTTATAGAAGCTAGGATGCAAGCAGAACTCCTTTATGCTCTGAGAGCCATTACCCGCTATATGACCTGATGCCTTTCCTCCATTAAAGATGATGGAACGATCAGCAGATATAGTCTACAAGGGGAAGGTACTCAGCCCCAGGACCAATGGTAGATAAAAGAATTCAAAACCCATTGTGCCATGATTCCTTTAGTTTCTGCCATTTTACTGTGGAAATGCCACTGCTGGCACAAGCAGTGAGTGCTCGGCAGCTTCAAGTTTAGAGCTGTGAAGAAGGGCTGCTGTTCACAGTATTTTGCTTTTTGACAGTACAAGATGCTGTATAACTGTTTTAATACAGCAAATAGTATCTTTCCAAATCCTGTTGCTTTTATGTTAAAAAATAACAAAAATTGGAGCATGCAAAGGATGGGACTTTGATAATGATGTAAGCTTTTATACATAAAGAATTTTAGATATTGGTGCTGCTATTCCTGCTGGTGGAATGAATAGAGTGGCTGTTCCAGTTAAGCTATCAGTAATAAGGTGAACACTGCTACTATCTGAGCCTACATACATTAAATTTGTGTGGTTCCAAATTAAACATATATATGTTAATTTTTTGCATCTAAAATTACTCACAGCTCATCAAAGACCATTATGGTGGTAACAGCTCATTTTTTTCATACAGTTTTTTTTTAATTCAGTTATTGGATGATATTAAATTACAGTGGCATTCTTAAAGACTTCTTCAAAAGGCAATCTTACATGAAAAATGTTTAAATTATAAGAAAAAGCTGGCTACCTTTTATGCTGTTTCCCAAGGTTCTGTGACACTGGAGGGCAGCTGTCTCATGCAGTGTTTGTTGCCAGCACCGAAGTTATGGGAACTATTGTGTAGCTGCTGCTCAGGCCCACCTCACGGTCCCCCCTTCAAATAGTAAAGCTGGAGAATATTTTTAGTCAGGTTATCAAATTTGACTTACAAAAATGCTAACTTTGAAATGCAAACAGGCTTGAAAAATGTATTAAGTACTTTGTATTCTGGAAGCGTGAATTGCTTTTGAAGTCTGTCAGTATTATTAGTATTTTTCAATAAAGAATAATTTTTCTCCAATTTTATTTGCTGTCTCAAAAAGTCCTGACTTAAAAATCAGTCGTCATTCCTAGTTTCTACTGATTTTTATTAGCTATCACACTTGGTCTCACCTAACTACAGAATTCAGAGAAGGCAATGGCACCCCACTCCAGTAACTATTATTTAAATGGCAAGCTCTTGCAGTCATTTTGAGAGCTACAAAGAAAAGTTTTATCTTGGAAATAACTGATACAGTCCCATGCCTTGTCCATTTTGAACTGAGATTTTTAGAGATCAATTATTAAGAATTATTAGAAGCAGGTTAAATTAGGGAGTCACTACAGAACAAAAAATGACACTGTCAAACAATTAGTTCTGAATTTAATCAAAGCTTTTGTGATAACTGAGCTCAATAAATATTTTGATGAATAACAAGATAGTGCCTATAAAATTATAGTGTGGGATGGGAGCTGGGAGGCATAATTTTGAATGGAGATATTATAGCTACCTTCATGGCTACATACTCTAGTGAGAAGATAATACTGTCACCTTAGATAAACACTGCCTTAAATATATTTTATAAAGAAATATATCAGCCCATTTCTAGTTAGCTTACAATAATATACAAATGGTCTTACCTGTTGAATTTGCATCATGCCTCTGCCCTTTTTTGTCTGCTGCTGGGTTATTTCATCATAGCAATACAGGTGAATCCAACAAGTAAGTCTGCACTGGATAAATTTCTACTCATTCTGCATCTGCTCTTTGCTCTTGGCACTTTCTCTTAAAAATACAACATTTCTAATAGAAGTTCTAATCAGTAGTAGGATGAGCAAGAAAAACTGAGTTTATTATCTTATTCCACTTAGAAATCATGAGACGAAATGAAAATTTTAATGAGTAAGAAAGTATGCTGGTACCTAAAGTAATAAAGGCATGCCTGTGATACAAAGTTGATGTTTCAACACCTCCAATTTAACAGGTGTTTCCTGTTAATGTTTTCTCAAAACTAAACATAGTGTTTTTAATATTGCTATTTATCTCTGAAACTGTTTCCAAAATAATTGAAGGCAGTAAAACAGAATATGGGCTATCAAAACTTTTCCCCACAAGAGGAATTATTTTTCTTAAATAACCATGAATAGATTTCTGGTTGAGGTTTCCAAGATTCAATTTTTTAGATCACTGTTTTAGTAAAAATTAGGGAACTTTTTTATTAGGCAGTACTTAATTCAGTATCTCTTTAAGAATGAGATTAAATTCTAAACACATTTACCACAGTTATTTAACTCCATATAAATACTGGTGATATTTTTAATTGGAGGAATAAAATCTTAATTTTTAAATGAATTTTAACAGTTTACCTATTTCACATTATCTTGATAACAGACCATTGGTAGATAAGTAAATAAAACTTGTTGGATAAGAATGTTTTCCAGGCACTTTTCACTCATTAAGATACTCTGAAATTTTGTTAAATATTTGTGACTAGTGAATATCAAGGAAAAGCAAAGGCAGGTAGATGGGGAGTGACATTACCTATGATGTACCAGGTCCTTATTCCCAATGGAGACACTGAACTAACAACAATAGAAGGACCAAATACCTTTGTGAGAACTCTAGAAACCACTTGGGAAGCTACAGCTCAGGCAAACACAAACCAGGAGGAGGGTGCACCAAACGGTGGAGATAAATTTGGGGCATTTTGCTTGTCCTAACCTGGCGTACAGCACGGCAGCAATTGAGAGGAAACTCCTAATTTCCCGCTTCTCCCTTGGGAGCAAAAGAAAACAGGTGAACGTTTGTGTTTGAGGGACTGGATTCTATCTCATCTGACTTGGAGCACTAGGAGGAGAGGTAGAATGGTTTGGATGCCACTTGTAGATCACTGAACACAGAAGTGAGCACAGAAGTACATTAGAACAGCAGGGAATCTATAGTTATATAGGCAGGTGCAGGGGACCCAAAAGAATACAGATAGGAATAAAACAGAAATTGGAACAGGAAGCTCCTGAGAAGAAACAGAGGCAAGCCTCTTAGGGAAATTAAGACGACAGCTAAAAGCAGATGATATATCCTGGAATAAAAACATATACACTTGTCCAAAGAAGATACATCCCTGGAAATGGTAGCTATTTTTCAAATGCCCAAATCACAACAAACTGCAAGGTATATAAATATGTGTGTGTGTGTGTGTGTGTGTGTGTGTGTGTGTATATATATGCAGGAGAATGTGGCAAAATCTAAAAAACAAAATAAATCCCCAGAAACCAACCCTAAAGCAATGTAGGACTCTGAATTACCCCACAAAGAATTTTAGAAACTTCCCTGGCAGTCTAGTAGTTAAGAAGTCGCCTTCCAATGCAGAGGGTGCATGTTCAATCCCTGGTCGGGGAGCTAAGATTCCACCTATCTCAGGGCCAAGACCCTCTTCCAAAACATAAAACAGAAGCAGTATTGTAACAAATTCAATAAAACCTTAAAAAAAAATTTTTAAACAATTGTCTTAAAGATGCTCAGTGTACTAAAGAGAAAAAGAGAACAAGGCTGACATATCAGGAAAATGATGCATGAACAAAACGAGAATATCACCAAAGAAACAGAATAAAAAAGAATCAGATTCTGGAGCTGAAGAATACAATAACTGAATAAGGAAAAAATTGACTACAACAGGCAATTTGATCAGAGAGAAGAAAGACCTTGGAGAGTTATTGATATTATCAATAATAACCTCAGAGGTTATTTGATATTATCAAGTCAGAGATAAAAATGAAAAGTGAGAGAGCCTAAAGGACTTGTGGGGACATAAAGTAGGGAGTGTGCAGAGCTGTAAAGCAATGGAGTTTTGTATGCAAATCAACTTCTTATCAAAATAAAGTTATAACATTTTTAAACATAATCCCCATGGTAACCACAAAGAAAATCTCTTCAGAATTACACAAAAAGAAATGAGAAGGAAATCAAAGCGTGTAACTCCAAAAAAAAGTCAATGAAACACAAAGGAGGAAGAGGGGGACTGAGGTACAAAAAAAGCTACAAATCTTGCAGAAAACAAAATAGCAAGGCCTTCCCTATTAGTAATTATATCAAATGTAATAAATGGATTGAACCCCCCAATCAAAAGACTCAGATTGGCTGAATGGATAAAATAAAAAAGAGGATCCAACTATATGCTGTCTATAAGAAACTAACTTTAGATCTAAGAACACATATAGGCTGAGTGTAAAAGGATAGAAAAAGACACTCCATGCAAATGGTAACCACAAGAGCAGAGGTAGCTCTATGAACATCGGAGAAAAGGGCCAATTCACCAGGAAGATAAAACAGTTATAAATATATAGTCATCCAATACTAACACTCCTAAACATAGGAAGCAAATGTTAATAGAAATGGGGAGAAACAGATTTGTTGTTGTTTAGTAGCTAGGTCATGTCTGACTCTCTGCGACCCCATGAATTGTAGCCTGCCAGGCTCCTCTGTCCATGGGATTTCCCAGGCAAGAATACTGGAGTGAGTTGGCATGTCCTTTTCCAGGGGATCTTCCTAACCCAAGAATCAAACCCACATCTCATGCATTGGCAGGCAGATTCTTTACCACTGAGCCACCAGGGAAGCCCAGGAAATAGCAAAACAATAATAGTAAGAGACTCAATATCCACTTCCAGGGACTTCCCTGGTGGTCCAGTGGTTAAGAGTACTCCTTGCAATGCAGAAAACACAGGTTGGATCCTTGGCTGGGGTACTAAGGTCACACATGCCATGGAGCAACTAAAGACTGCATGCTGCAGCTACCGAACCCATGCACTCAGAAGCCCATGCACCACAACTAGAGAGCTCACGTGATACAACAAAGATCCTGCATGCTGCAACTAAGACCCAATGCACCCAAATAAATACTTTTAAAAATACTCACTTCCAAAAATGAATAGAACCAACATAAGATAAATAAGGAAAAAAGAGGACTTGAACACTACAGACTAGTTGAATCTATCAGACGTATACAGAAAATAAC